GTCTACACGACGTGGGACTGAAGAGCGAAAAGGACGGACGAGACGAGGAGCGCGAAAACACGTCTCATTCATTGCGTCGTTCCACACTGCAGAATAGAGAAAGAGAGAAAAAGGAGGCGCACGTTGCCCCGCTGTAGGCAATGCTGCGCAATCGCCGCGCGCCCCAACGTCGCAGTCATCGTCGTCGACGTCGACGTCGACGTCGTTTCTTTCCCCCTCGTATCGTATGTATACCAAGCGTACACGGCCCCCCGTCGTCGTCGCTCACCCTTTCGTCGCTATCGCTTGCTCGTTCCTACCGAGTTACTACTAGATAGACAGAGAGAGAGAGAGAGAGAGAGAGAGAGAGAAAGAGTGAGAATGAGTGAGAATGAGTGAGAATACAAGCGCCGAAAAGAGGAGAAGAAGGGTGGGCCGTTTGGGTCTCGCGAAAGACTGTCGTGACTTTGTCAGCGTATGATGTGCGTGCACTAATGCATGGCATGAGCGGATGTGTGATGCGTGCGTCTCTCTTCGACTCCTACGCGTCACTCAAAACTCACTCTCTCACTCTCTCTCACTCTCTCTCTCTCTCTCTCTCTCTCTATTTGTCGTGCATATTTCGTACGTAGCTTTTGTTTACGCGAATCGAGCGAGCGTTATTTTAAATTCCTTCGCTTCGTACTACGATGTATGTAGCACTGGCGTCTCTTCCTCACCTTCCTCCTCCGCCTCCTCCTCCTCCTTCTTTATATACGCCACGGTTGTTCAATCTCCCTAGATTTCCGATAATTATATCGCTCATAACAATACTTAAATAGAACGATGTTTGCCTTTGGGACTTCTCGCGAATGCAATAACGACTGTTAACCGATGGCCTTAAGCCTTTAAAGATATTTTTAATGTATCGAGCGAGCTAGAGAGCCATTTCAATAACTTGCATATTGAGAGCTTCGGGAATAATCTTAAATCGCTCGGCGAGTTAAAAAATTTACAAGTTTCACGATAGCGCGATAGACGTTACCTCGACTCGTTATTATTAACCTTACGCAACATAAACGTAAAATGCATAATGTAATGACAATTTTGGAATATTGTTTAAATAGAATCGGTTGCTCGTTGATTTGAATGCGAAGGAGCTCTTGACTTGACTTCAAATAATGTCTCTCGACCCTGTGACATGACCGAACCTTTAGAAGAATATTATTATTGATATTTACCGTACTTGCTCTCATTCAACTGCGGGAGTGCTTTGAGCAAAAAAAAAAAAAAAAAAAAAAAAAAAAAAAAAAAATAAAATTTGTCGCGTTTGTCGTTGTAAGGCAACAGATGCTTCCATATCACGACGATCGAGGCGAGTGAATTTTTTGTTTTAAGTTCATTCGATAAGCGCGCCACTTGACAAAAACAAACAAAAACCAAATGAAAACAGCCTATTTTTTCATATTTTTAGGGACATATGAATCTAATGCTGATGTTTGGGCTTGTAGATGAAAACTTTCTCGAATCAAATGAAGGAAATTTCATGATTTTTTGTCGATTTCCTCGCGGCTCGATCGCGAAAGGAACATTCACGATCGAGGTTCTTAATCGCGACGGTGCCCATGATCAATTCGTCTTATTTCATGCGGCCCTTATCGCATAAGAGCGCCGGTTTGATTATACGGCAATTGCAAGCAGCGCTAAGCTAAAATTGAATAACTCGCGATTAAAAAACAAATGTCAAATTATTGTGAGAAAGAAACCGAAAGCCCCGAAGCCGAGAGGACTGAGCGCCGTAAATGCAAAACAATGGCAATGAACGAATGCATCAGCAGCGAGGACAGTTGCACCGAGTGAGAATTGAGTGATATGATGGACGAAATAATGTTGGGACCCGCCACGTGACTACTCGAAGACAAGAGAAAATGGCTAACGATAAATTAGCGCTCTCAAGAAAGATAAAGTTTTCTTTAGATGGACGAAGAAACGTAGCAGCGGTTGGGGAGCGTAGCTGACGAAGGGGCTCCTCGCGCTAAACTAACCAGCACGTCGACGCAATATTGAAGCGAGTTCATGCTAAGCAAGCGTTACCGAGCAAAATAAAAGACTGGAGCTAAACTAGCGTAATGAAATGAAAAGCAAATGAAGCCATTTTCAGTTAAGTATTTCAACTTTGACACGGAGAGAATAAGGCAGCGAGCATAAATGGGAGACGTTGTTTACTGAGGCGAGTGGGCCCGCGATAAATTAGCATTGTAATATGATAAATAATTGACGGGACGGATGACGTGCGACGTATTCCGACGTATTCCGACGAATTGTGACGACGTTGGACGACGTTTGACGACGTTGGACGACGTTTGACGACGTTTGACGACGTTTGACGACGTTTGACGACGTTTGACGACGTTGGACGACGTTTGACGACGTTGGACGACGTTTGACGACGTTTGACGACGTTTGACGACGTTTGACGACTTACGACGACTTCTGACCAATCGACGGGCAGCCGATGTAGCGATCGAGCTTGCGCTTTAAATACAAAGGATACTGAGCTATCGATTTCCAGTGAATTAGCAAGCAAATGGCTTAAATGATAAAAGAAAGTGTGTCGCTAAATATATGTATATGAAAGTGAAGAAAAGGATGTGCCAATATTTCCGAGGCAAACGCGATAAAAACTCCCGGCACAACATACAACATACGAGTAGCTTAAACACAAAGTTCAAATATAAATGAGACAGTGTTGGATAAGAAAGGGACATACATAACAGACCTATCCACAGTCTATGAATAATCCACTGTGGGACAACAGCGGCATTAAAAGGAATTTAATAAGTAGAGAAAGAGATAAGGAAATTGATGATACATTTTTAATAACTTAATAATGGGTAATACGATAAATATAATAAAGCTTGGGATGAATAAGAGAGACGAAACGTAAAGAGAGCGCAATATTCGATTCGATTAACCTCCAGTCATTAACTCTACCAAAATATGATAATAATTTAATGGTAAAGTATGAAGTATAATGGGAAACAATAATTAAAATTGTGGCAAAGGATTCAAAGTATTTTTGAAAAATGTTGGGTTAGGTAATGTTTATTGAACTACATTGTCGAAAGCATGTCGTACTAAGTATACTTAGAGGACTCTGATTTTTATCAAATTACTCGGGTACGTTTCCAATGAAAAAATACACCATAGTTTTATTTCCCAGGTAAGTTTGTATGGCCGTACCAACCTTCTTTATCTACCAATTTTGTTTGTTTTAACCTACATACCCTTTTCGTTCTAAAGATTTTTATAGTTTATGTGCAATTACACCATACCACGCCGCTCAATTGTAATATCCGCATTCAAATTACTTTTCACTTTTTTATACGCATCCAATCTCCAGACCTTTCATGATATCTTAAGTCTCCAATTCATTATTTAACACAATCACTGCTTCTGCTCGATAATTCAATAAAATGCAAATTTGAAATATTATTTATCACAGGATCTATCTTAATATAATTGGGCTAAAATTGGTAACTTTGAAAATGTAATCGAGCGCAAGAGAGGAATGAAAATACATAATAGGAATATTCCGACATTTATAATCCGTATTTATGCGATTAAAAAGAAAAAAACTTCACGGCGAGCAAATATTATTATCGTATAAATGGAATACAAGCGAGTAAGATGATGTGTATTTGAGAAAAATAAACTCTCGTGTGAAGTTAGTAGCCGTGATATAAGTAGTAAAGGGGTGATTTAGTGGCATTGGTGGACAATTGCTACAACATATTAACATATTACTATATATAATAGAGAAATATAGCGCGTATCGCATTCCTGATATTTAATACTTATTATAAACTAGCAACTTTTAATTATCAATCTGAATTTATCCAATAATTATTAATTTCTATCAATATGTTTTTCTCAGATATGGATTAATCTGCACTATCGGACACGTTAGTTATAATTATTTGCGGAATACCTGCGGGTAGCTGTTAATATTAGTGGTAATTTTAATAAAAAAAACTTTGATAATGAAGTTGAAAAATCAGGAAGTAAAACGTTAGTAGTGCAGAAAGGTTCCATTGTAAGATGGAATATAAGAAAATGTAATTGATTAATACAAGCATTTAATAGATCGGGGCACAGCTA